AAAAAAAAAAAAAAAAGAAAAAACCTTCTTGAGATTATTGAAAAAATATCAGATTGGGGGCAATGTGGAGAACTCATTTGTTCCCACTTCTCAAAGACATTCCATATTTTTTCACAGATAATAATTCTGAAATCTAAAGACTAAGCCATCTGAGAAAGAACCCTAAATATTTCCATATTAATGCCTGCTTCCCATGATACGACTGGGCATTCCTGGATCTTCTTTTGTTCACTGAATTCTCCATGCTCCAGGTAACCAGACCAACCTCTCATGAAGGTAAAGCTCTGAAATTAGAAGTGACAGACATGGAAACAGTGTAAAAGGGAAGCAACTGTTTTTTGAAATATTTGGCATCAATTCTTTGCCTAGAGGTTCATTAACTGTGTCTGTTGCACATTGTTTTGTTTGTATTTTAAAATCATACATATAAGAAATGGGCTATTGTCTACAACCCTTACCAACAAGAAATAGTCTCATTAACAGCAACGATTCAATTATGTCTGGACTATGATTCCATCTGTCGATAGGTATTACTCAATACCCCAACCCCTGTTGCTTTTCCTCTTATAAACTTTCAAACCATTCACTGTTCACAGCCCAGGTCTCCCCAAGCTTGCTGTCTCCCCAGGCATCTGAGATGGCCCCTCACCCTGCTGCTGCTCCCTACTTACCATGAAAATGCTATTTCCAGAGAAAGATGGTTTCTCTTGTTGCAAACAAAGCTGCAAACTCACTAGGGAACAAAGTGACACAAAATTTCCTTCAGTCTTCGCTGTGCCTGTGTTATGCTGTGTTGCTTAGAAAAAAATAAACAAGTAGAACATTCCTCTTTCTCTCTCTGCCCACTCCAGACCCAACTACAGAACCAACATCACCAAAGCCTCACTGGCTCACGGAGTCCTTGTGAAAACCAGGAGATGCTAGTGGTCAGAGCATGGTTTCAGGAATGGTCTTTCCGAGGTCTCCTCTCTTCTCCATTCTTCTACCCCTGTGAAGGTCAAACTACCCATGAGCCCTTTCCCTTTCACTCAAATCAACACTTAGCAGTAATCCCTTTTATATGTAATACAGATATTCTTCTATGAACAACCTACCTGTTCAATGACTGTTCATATTTCGACCCACCACTTGGACTAATGACCCATCTTTTAAATTTGTATAATTCTGTACATGTTGTCGACAGAGCCTCAATGTCTCTTTTTTGTACAGTACACCTTGTTTACACAGTACAGTCATTTTTGCTGATGATACCGTACAGTACAGTACTGTAGTTTCATGTTCTGTTACACATTATAGTACCACATATAAGAGGTATGCAAATAAAAGCCAAGTCTTCAACTCGGAGTTTCCTTTGACCATTTCTTTGTTCTGCACCTTGTAATGCACATATAATATGTAATTCCTCATTTAGTGGCCAATTCATTTAACTACCAGGTCACAGGAAAGGAAGTCAGTCATGAAATTAGGAATCCCTGTGGCTACTATATTTAGGCACATTCACTAAGCATGTTAGGCAAATAAACAGCATTCATGAAAGGACAAATATCTTCAAAATATGTGTTATCTCTGTAATGTCTGATACTCGAGAAAAATAAGCTACCTGACATTTTTGGGCTATTGAGGCAAAATAGCCTCAATAGCCACAAAATATATGGTTTGCCTGTTTCGATGCAGAAGGGAGTGATTTGGAGCACGGTCTCATGAGACCTGTTGAGCACATGTGACACAGGCTGAACAGCTGTGCCAGAGGGCCAGAAAAATGTCTCATTGCTCTCCTTTAATAGAGCTCACTTCTAAGGACTGTTTGCTTCCAACAGTTCCCAGGTGATAAGAAAACCGATTCACTAGGAGGTAAATAAATTCTCAGATAGAAACAGACTCTTTAAAAGTAATATTACCTTTGAAACTTTTTGATATGCAGTAATTTCTCATATCACACAGGGCACATATTTTCTCCAGGGTTAAACATACACTTCTGAGACAGGAAACAATTCAATAATTAATTATTACTGTGATTCTTGACTCTGGGATTGTTTTATGTGTTTAATTTTTGTCTTCCACTCCTGTCTAGGCAGCTTGTCTCCCAATACTTTATATGTCTTTCTTTCCTCCAAGGCATTTACTGCACAGGCGGACAGAACAGTGGCTCCATGAATACCAGTTTCACAGTCGAGGATATCTGGTATTTCCAGTGATGTTTAGAGTTCAGTGGGTTTATGGTTCCATGACATCTTATTAGTAAGTATTTTGGTTTCATTCATTCCTTGCAATGACCTCAGAAGTTCCTTCATTAATAGCCCAAACTGCACATTCAAAGCACAGCTTCCAGGACTGTCAACTGCGAGATCAGTGTAACCTTGAAGAATTCATGGAAGCTGCTAAGATGCCAGGCAAGGGCATGTGAGGAATATAGGAAGAGATACTTTATTGATTTGCTAAAGATCATATCTAGATTGCATCTGTTTTGCAATCATGATTATCAATGAATGAGCACTTTCTATATCATTGCTATATCATAGGTTACCCTGAATTTCTGAACAATTTTTATCCCTCCCTTTTCTAACATGGGAGGGATCAGTACTGCCTGGACCCAGCTGATGTGATGATTTGTTGGTAGCTGCTATGATTTATTTTAAAGGGTATTAAGGTGCATATATTCTTTTTTTTGAGGGGGGGTACAAGGGATCGAACTCAAAACCTTCGTCTTGCAAGGCAGGCTGTGGCACCACTGAGCTAAATCCCCAGCCCTGGAACACATATATTCTTAAGAAAAACAGATCATTTTCATTGAACTATTTTGATAAGACAATGTCTAATACAGATATTCCTTGTTAAATGACCTACTTGTTCAGACTTACAACCCACCTCTCAGACTTCCAACCTGCCTTTTTTTTTATACCGGGGATCGAACTCGGGACCTTGCACTTGAGAAGGAGGCGCTGGCACCACTGAGCTAAATCCCCGGCCCCAACCCATCTTTCTTTCTTTTTTTTTTTTTTTTTTGTACAGTTCTCTGCATCTTGTTTACAGAGCCTCTATGTCTTTTCTTGCTCCAGTAAACCCTGTTTACACAGTACTGTAAGTTTGGCTGGTTGCACTGTGCAGTACATACTGTAGCTTTGCGTTCTGTTATACATTACGGTACTGCATGTAAGAGTTGTGCAATTAGAAGCAAAGTTTCAAGTTGGAGTTTCCTTTGACCCTTTTCTGTTCTGAATATGGTAATGTACATGCTTTGTGCAATTCCTCATTTAGAGACCAATTCATTTAGCAAACTTGAGGAGTATGTTACACCATCTGCAGACGTGTTACCTGAGCCTGCTGCTTGCAGGATTTTAACTCTATCTCCAAAATCTTTCTGGGAAGTTTGAAGTTTGAAGATGTTAATATAATCAAGGCCTCCTTACTGGAGGTCATGCTTTATACATTTCTATGCTCTCGATTCTTCCCTCCTAATACAATCATATACAAACCCATGATTATTTGTTCCGTGGAGGTCGTTACATGTGGATAAAAATGTTTGAAGATTTGAGGAATTGTGGCTTTACAACCATAAAAGGTTAGGAGCAAATCTTTGTATCTTGTTCACATGAACTGCAAACACAATGGCCTTTTGCAGTCCTTTATCCACTTCTAACAAAGCATCTGGAGTTTGTTTCCTAAGAAGGTTAATTTTATGTGTTTACTTGGCTTGGTCTACAGGATTCCCAGACATTTGGTCAAACACTGTTCTGCACGTGTCTGTGAGAGCATTTCTGAATGAGATCAATGTTTGCATACATAGATAGAATAAAGAAGATCAGCCTCTTTAAAGTGGGTGGGCCCTGTTTAATCAGCTGAGGTCCTGAGTAGAATAAGAAGTAAAAGCAGATTCTTCTTGCTTTATTGTCTTCAAGCTGGGACACTGGTTTTTTCCCTACCTTCTGACTCAAACTAAAATACTGGCACTTCTTGAGTTTCAGGTTGTCTGCCAGTCTTCATAGAAGCAGCAGCAAATCTTCTGGCTGTCTGATTCTCAGGCCAGGAGATTATATTCGAACTCTCCAGGTTCTCCAGCCTGTCAGATGCAGAGGTGAAAATGTGTCAGCTGCTGTGATCATGCACGCTAATTCCTTATAAAATACATGTATACATTATATTGTTTCTGTTTGTCTGTAGATCCCCAATACCTATCGCATACTGGCTTAATATTCTCAAGCTCATTTTAATTTAGTTTTGCCTCTGTTCATTCAAAGTGATCGTGTTTGAATAAAGAAGAGGAGGAGAAATATTAGTTTTTCCTTCCCTCTTCAGACACAGTGCTCAGCCCTGGATTTCTATTCGAAACAGGAAATGGATTTGCCGATGATACTAAAGAAATGGGATTGATAAATCCATCTACAACTTTGACATGTCCTATGCTTTAATATCCACAAACACGGCAGTACTCAGATTCACAATAACGTTATCATGCTTTCAGGTGAAAAAGTATCTGAACTGCATATGACAGATTCCCATGACAAGTGTATTCCAGGTGCTGCTAATGGCTATCTTTTGGGAGGTGTGTGTCAGTTAATATGTTTGTCAACTTGACTATATTAAGGAACTCCTGGAAGCCAGGCATGGTGGAGCAATCCCAGGATTCAGGAGGCTGAGGCAGGAGGATTGCTGCAAGTTCAAGGCCAGTCTTGGCTACATAGTGAGTTCAAGGCAAGCCTGAAAAACATAGTGAGACTCTGTTTGAGAGAAAGAGAGAGAGAGAGAGAGAGAGAGAGAGAGAGAGAGAGAGAGAAAGGGGGGGGAGAAAGAAAGAAAGAAAGAAAGAAAGAAAGAAAGAAAGAAAGAAAGAAAGAAAGAAAGAAAGAAAGAGAGAATGGAACTCCTGAAGTGGTATTGGATTGTGAGGGTACTGCCATCATCAATGAGTTAACTCATTGTATTAGTCAGATTCCCATCACAGAAACACAATATTTAAGACCCATAACTGAAGGAAGGAGAGTTTTAATTAGTTCCTCCTCATGTCAGGGAACTCAGTCCATGATTGCCTGGTCCCGACAGGTCATGGCAGTCCTCAGCATGGCAGGACAACAGTGCCAGCAAGAAAGGAGAGTAGGACTAGACTTTATCCAATGTCATTCTTCCATGACACACACAGTCACACCCAGAAATGGGCTTTAATAATGCCCTTGGCAGCTTCCAAACCAATCAAATTGACAATCTACTTCATGTTCACCTATTGGTGCATTCCTAGTTGGGTGAGCTGTTAGGTGGTGGAGTTCAGTTGGAGAAAGTTGGTCATGGGGCCATGGCTTTGGGGACTAAATCTTGTCCTTGGCCCCTCCCTGTCTGGATATTTCTCCCCTGCTCTGCTTCTTGGCTGCCCTGTGTTAAGCAATTTTTCTCTGCCATGCCCCTCCACCATATTTTTTCTGCCTTGGAACTAGCTGGTCATGCACTTAAACTTCTGAAATCATGAGTCAAAAGAAACCTCTGCTCCTTTATCCTACGGGTGTCAGGCATTTGCTCCCAATAATGGAAAAGTAAGTAATACAAAAATGTATTTATGTATGCATGTATTTATTGGTTGCAAGATACATGTTGAACAAGTACCCAATTCACATAACCAATCACACACTTCATTATAACACATTACCCAATCCAAACTTGCCCACAATTATTTAAAACTTTTGCATCTCCAGTTCCATGAGCTTCACTAAAAGTTGCACAGAAAAAAAAAAAAAATAGAAGTTTTCTGGAAATATAATATCATTTTGAGGGAAAAAAAAGAAACTTTAAATGATTATAGTAATGTCTGTAAACATTTTCCTTAAATGTATTTTTGTTTCTAAGTGTGATTTAAAATATATGGTAATATTTATAAAATCTCTAAGATTAGTTTCTGTAATTTTTATTTTGGCTAATTTTGAAAAAAGCATTTGTAGTAAATTTTTGGTTACCTGAGCATCTCTTGGCTCCTTAATCCTTCCTAAAAGCATCATTAATTTCAGATTTGGTACCCACATATTACTATGTGTAGCACATGATTCTGAGAGAAATTAAATTTGGGAATGAGGCATCTATTTACCTAAGTCAATCAGTACATTTCCATCCCCTTGTGTAGTGACTGATTTAGAACTATGAAGGTAATCTTAGCTGATCCAAACAGAAGTTGAATGCTAAAAAGTGAATTTTAGAAATCTTGCTTAGAATGCTAGGAAAGAAACACTCCTATTTCTGGATGGTGTGTGGGTACAAAGACTGGAACTACTTCAGGTATTATATCATCATGAGGAAAGCTCTTAGGTGAAGATGACAGTGGAAGGGAGAATAAAATTAAAAGTACAAAACAAAACTTAGTTCCTTAAAAATACTAATAAGTTGCTGAATATAAACCAACTCAGAAACTCAACATGGCTCCAGATGTATACACTCTTGAAAGCCATGAATATCCTTTAATGTTTAAGCCACTTTTCTTTAAATTATTTTGACATGCAATATAAAGAACACAAGATACAGTGGTACCACGGTTCCTGAACTTCAT